TTCTGCAACTCTCAATTATAATGCTCAATAAGCTAAAAGATACATTCATTTAATTAACAAATATCTACTAAAAATATCAAGGAGACGAAGAAAAATAATTTGAATTCAATTTAGAATATAATTCCATAGACTGCACCAACTAAAAGCTATTACAAGAAAATTTCTTTTTCTATTTTATAGTATAATGGCCGAATCGAATGGAAAGAAGATATGAAATCTAATAATACGGAACGGTTTACGTGAATACATGCAATGGCGTATGTCCATTCGACTTTTTTGTCGTTTATCCTTTAGCATTCTCTTCCGATACCTCCCGCTTCCACTAAATTGCCGCAGCAATGAAAACTTCGATGAATAAGTATCTGATAAGTGTGAACTGTTTTCTCTGTATGGTGTTCAGTGTACACACACACACATATTTAAGCGCAACCGTGCGCGCGCTTTTGCGCTATCTTTTGATTTATTTATTCGGCTGGGTTAAAAACTAGGTAGAATTGGATAGCATTTGAACACATCATTCTTTTTTCTCGCTCTCTCTTTCTTTCAATCTCTACCTCTTCTTTTTCATTTTCATTTTCTACAACACTGATTTCTTTGATTTCATTGCTGTCTTTGAATTTCGTATTTTTTTTTGTTTCACTCTTTGCAATATCTTGTATTTTTTACCAACTGCAGATACACCCGCAAAATACATCCGCTTCAGTGTCTGGATTCGATCGACCGAATTAATCCTTTGACTTATTATTATGAATTTTTTTCTTATGCTTTTTTTGTTCCTTCGTTTCTTTTCTCGTTCGCTCGTCATCTCTTTTCATTTTTATTATTTTGGACCCGCGTCGTCGTTTTTCATTTTTAACCTGCACATTATGAAATTCTTTCTTTTATTTCATGACACGATGGGACTGCATCGTCAATTTTGATATTCTGTTGATGGTTTTTCTCTCTATTCTTTCACATTCTCTATTTCTTTTATTCTTTTTGGGCTCTGATTTTTTCTGCTGCGCTGCACTTCATTTCTTAAAGCAATAGAGAGAGTTTTAAGTTTTGCGGTTCAGCAATTTATTTTGCAATAGACGTTATTCGTAATATCTTTTTTATCTGTGTCTCATCAGCACATGCCGTAGATTGTTTTTTGGCCACTCTAAAAATTATGTTCAAATATTTGAACATTGCAATATGCGGCAATCGTTTATGATGTCAACGAAGCAAGCAATGAGAGAAATAGAATCCGAAGACGAAATGAGCATCCAGCATCATCATATATGATCACACAGAGAATTTTAGCGACATCTCTTATGGATTTTTACTACACATAAGAAGAAAAAAATACAAGTGACTAGAGAATATATATGCGATGCATTGAATGTATCAGTGTGCAACGTTGCACTGTATTGTAAGGTGTATCACAATGCAAACCATTTTCGAGACATTTAACTTGCTCCGGTTCGTTCAGTAAATTAAACCAATGAAATAGTTTGGTTTCGGTTTACTTCTCTGTTAAATGTACTGATTAAAGTATTGGTGTAATCAATAAAAGAATTGAAAAAAAAAAATGCGAATTGAGAATCGACAACGAAAATGAAATGTTCATATCAATATATTCTCACTCTCTCCATCTCATTTTTTCTTCTTCACTCAAATGCATTTGTATTGAACTCACATTTTATATTGTATTTCAGCTATTAACAACTTCAAAGCTCAGTGATTTCATGATAATTCATGGACTGTCTGTAATGAACTCATTTTGGTAATCGTAAGGATGAACAATATGCTAGGGGGAGATTGCGAAGTTGTTTACAAGAAGAATATAAACAAATATATACGACTATGCCACCAATATATTCCAATATACTTAACAAAATACTCTAGCTATTAGAGTATTACTCTAGTTACTTAAACGACTCACTGTAAAAATATTATTGAAAAGAAAATGTTTCAATGAAAAACCGAAAAAATGGTTTTTTCTTGATTCTAGTAAATTTTTTTAAATATTCTTAGTTTTAAATAAAATATTTTTAAAATATGTGAAAAGAAGCAAACTTGCCATGTTTGAGACGCTTCAAATAAATGTGGTCAAAAAAGAGTTTATGTCAAGTATAAAATTTTCGTTGATATTTGGTACTAGATTTTAGTACTAGTTTTAGTACAAATCTAGTACTCTTGCACAATGAACTTATTGTTCAAAATTAGTTTAATGTACATAATCCACGGATAAATAAATAAATAAAACACACAATAAAAAATAAAATAAAACATTTTTTTTTAATTATACAAATCAAGAAAAAACCATTTTTTCAGTTTTTCATTGAAACATTTTCTTTTCAATAATATATATTGTATTTTACCATTTGTACTCTAGCAAGTAATTGTACTCTAGTATTTACAAGAGTATTTTATATAATATAGCAAATATTTGTCAATAAATCACGACTATATGCACACAATCTCCCCCTAGACAATATGCAATAGTTTATGACATATGCAGTCCTAAAATAACATTTGAATTTCGTGTCGGGAATTATGAAAATGTTCTTTTCTTATTGTGTGCAACAGCAATAAGGTCAAGACTCGATGAAATCATTATCTTTCTCGAAAACACGGAAGAAGGATGAAGACAAAGAGAGAGAGAGAGAGAGAGAGAGAGAGAGAGAGAGAGAGAGAGTGAAAAAACTGTCATGGTATTCAACTAATAAGAGAAGTTTACACGATCATAATTACGTTGCAGAGAAGATTGCAATGACATCGTGCCGATTTCAGCGTTTGTATAACGTTATAATATACGGTGTGGTACGGGCATATCAAATAGGAAAAATAACAATACTGTACGATCTATCTTGGATCTATAGATATATCGCACAGGCAAGCGAATGCAAACTGAATGCGAGACGAAAAACCAAATCAGTTACAAAAACCAACCGAAAAAAAAGAAGATTGAGATTTGCGCGCGCGTTCTCATTTGAGATTACAATTATTGTAAGCGCTCGTTTCGTGACTCATGAACCGCATTGACTAAATGTATTTTCTGTTTCTAATTGCAAAACTAAAGAATGCGCATGCAATTTTTTTTCCCTTCATTTCGATAAAATTTAGTGCCATCACTTTTTACCATTGATATATTCCAATATAACATGGTTTCTTGCTTCTATCTTTTTCGCTCGCTCGTTCTGTTTAGTTATCTTCCAAGTAAATCTGACGAGAATATCGCGTTGGAATGTTTTCATTCAAGCAAAATTAACTTTTATCAAAATGTAATCAATTAATCAATCACAAAACAAATAACAAGAACTATCGCATCCACATTTTATATTATTATTTTGTTGTGTTTGGCCGCGAGCGTTATTTCGTCGAGAAATGTAATCTCATTCACTTCATGACTTCAACCGGCTGTTTATCTGTGGCCACAAAGATTATCATTCAAACATTCACATAACGGCTACAATCACATTTTTGTTGTTGTTGTTGTTACCATTGCTGTTACGATTCTTGCTAATTATTTTGTTGTTTCAACCATGGTTCTCTCTTGCATAATCGCAATCATTGTGTGACGTATCATTCAATGATCGATTCGACATGCAATTTCAACACCAATTAGCAATACACTCTTGGCTTTGAAACATTTTTACTATTTCAGAATGTTCAAAAAAAAAAAACAAAAGAAAGAAATCGTTTTTACTTTTCCGCCCACACGAAGTGTGAAGGGAAAAGTATTGTAATTGGGTCAGAATTTGAAAATTCTTAAAATGGTGGGAGATGACCTATTCTAAGTTGGGGATGATTTTTTTGGTTAGATTTGGATTCCTCGACACAAAATTGGAGACAATCATGGTCTGCTATGATTTAACGCGATTTTTCAACTAACTTTCAGCCTAGTTTTGTTTTTTTGACCATTAAACATGTTTTTTAATTGGACATGTTCTATCATGATCTAAAATCATTTAACACGGTTGGAAAGCGTTCGTAGTTTATCACAATATCTGACCAAAATCTTCCCGACTCCTATTAATTACACAACATTGAAGTAAGTAAACAATTAGACGGAAAAGTTCGTCTTACAGCGTGAGACTTTTTATTCTATTCGCAATTGTTCATTTATTCTCTTTGTATGTGTGTGTGTGCTTTTTATCCGAATCATCTCAATTTGCTACGATTCAACATAGCAAAATGTTCTTGCATATATATAAGGCTTTCATTTGGTTTTATAACATGCTGCACACACACTACAAGTCCGACGGAACGAACAAATGAAAGATTTTAATAGCAGATGATTCAAACCAATAAACATCAATTTATTTTATGATTCTCTCTCTCACTCGATTTCTTGCGTTGCAAATCAAATGGCATCATTCAGTAAGTCTTTATTACATTGTATGTAGAATTGCATATAGCCAAAATGCATCAAATTTTCATATACAACGAATTTTATTGCCTTAACGGACATTGTGTATGTGTTTGAGTAAGAGAGAGGGAGAGAGAGAAATTTCTTATCCGAACAATGTTTCGTGTTGTTCTTTTTTCTAAATTGATTAAAGAAAATATCTTTTCCGTGATTTTCATGGAATTCATTGACATTATAATTTTTTTCATACAGCAACCGTAATTTCCTTTTTGATACAGAAGATTTTTTCACAAATTTATTTTTAAAGTAATAAAGTTACCATTAAAGAAATAGAAAAAAATAAAAATAAATATTCAGTTAACAACTCACAACGACTCTTTATGTCTAAGCATAAGTTTTGGTAAAAAAAAAAATTGGAATGCAATATTTTTTGTCAGTTTAAAATAATGAAATGATTTTCATAATTTTCAATTTTTATATCGCCAAAAAACGGCGTATTACTCACTTGAATATGGACAACGTTGCGTTTGTTTCAGTTAATATCTATGTAAACATACAAGTTTCACAACTGTTAAGCTTTTGATTTTGGTTACATTATGTCCCTCTCACGGACAATAGGCGAAGTAAATTTAATCGAAATGTCATTTATGAGTTTTCTGTCGCACTGTGAAGGGATATTGTGACATATTCATACAAAACGAATCAACTAGATAGTTGCTACATATAGAAATCAATTGAAAATAAACGTAAAAACAACGTAAACAGAGTAAGCTAAAATTATTTCAAATCAAAATTTTGAAAAATGTTTCGATTTGTTAAGGAAAGGGGTGATGAAATAATAAGTATAAAGCGGCAAAAATTCTGTGTAGCAGTTGAAAATGAAAGTGTTGCACGTGAAATGTACGAAAGTGTTTTGCAAATACCGTCAACATCGACAGCACCGGTAAAATCACAAAACAATACCGAACATCGAAAATCCAGACGCATTACATTACCATTTAACAAAAATAAATTGTTTGCGGCTGTCGTGAGTAATGATGTGACGACAATTGAAGAAATGAACATAACCAATCGAAATGTAAATGTGACCGATCAATTCGGTTGGACGGCATTGATGATGGCCGTATGTGACGGACATTTGGACGCTGTAAAAGTGCTAATTAGACGTGGCGCCAACATTGATATTGAAAACAAACAAAACGACACCGCATTAAAATTGGCCGAAAAAAGAAAGCATCAGTTGATTATAGAATTTTTGAAACAAAAACAAACTGAAACAATTGAAACAATTTGCTTGAGCAGTGATGATGATCAAACAAGTTCGCAGAGATTTTTCTGTGATATTTGCCAAACGGAATTTTTGCAAATCGACCAAAAGTCGCACGAAGCCTCAACGTTACATCGCTTTAATCGAGAAAATTTATCGAAATCGGCACCTCATTTTGGAATTGCAGAGTCCAATGTCGGCTTTCGTATGTTAATGAAACAGGGATGGGATCGTGAAAGTGGACTCGGTGCGAAACGTGATGGCATAATTTATCCAATTAAAACAACACTACGAAAACCACGATCTGGTCTTGGTGTGCGACAACCGAACAAACCAAAAGTCACACATTTCAAACCATTTGATTGTGATGCCATTAAATCAGGCAAACCAATATCGATTAAACATGTTAAAACTAAAAGACAGCTACGAGCCGAACAATTGCGAACTCAGCGCAAAGATCGACAATTGAGAAAACTTTTGTCATGATTCTATTTCATCATCCTTTTATTATTGTTGAAAAGAAAAATCACCGCGCAATCGGTTTCAAATAGAATAATAAATTATTTAAATGAGACGATAAATGCAGAGAGATTGATTTGAATTATTATTTCTCTTCTGCACAGATACGAACTTAAATGGTTCAAGGCTGTAGAAAACTGATATAAAATGAATAAGGCAGGCGAAACAGTTTTGAAAATTCTCATCGATACCGAGCGTTTTGCCGATAAAGTACTTCAATATCGACTGGAAATTATCGAATTGGATAAACGTCGCCAGAGTACGCGTGAAGCAATACGTGATTTGGGTATTTTATTTTCATCATACTTTCATCACTTATTGACTAATTTTCATTATTTTATATGTGATTAACCATAGGTAAAAACGATGACAAAAATGTTTGGATTACCATCGGACCGATATTAGTCAAAATGGAAAAAGAAAAGGCATGCACTCTATTGAAAGAAGGTAAATAAAAAAGTGCAACATTTTTATCATTATCTAATGTTTTCATTTCATATGTTTATTTAAAAAAAAACACAGATCAAAAAACTATTGACGCTGAAATTAATAAATTACGCAGTGAACAAAAGGTATGGGTGGCCAAATTGCGTGAAGCCGAATGTCAAGCGCCATTGGTTGGGTTCGATCTTAAGGCATTAGATCGCAAAGAAGCTGCAGCATTTAAAGCAAATTTACCTGGTTTTTAAAGCAAAAGTTACCCATGTTTTCTTTATAAAAAAAAATTCCGCATAAAATGCTCAATAAAAAATAATAAAAATTTGATATAACGGCCAATATATTTTGTTTTGTTTTTTTTTTTATATATATATTTTGCATAAACTGTATAATGATGTCAAATAGAACTTCTGTTTCGTGCTGTATATATTTGTATGCATATAATTAAACAAACATTTTGTTTTGTTTCATGATATATGTAATCTGAAATGTTATTGAAGTTTGTTTTTGTGTAAGATTTTTTTTTTTTGTTTCACAATATTTATTTGGATAATTCAGCCAAAACTTCCTATAATTTTTTTTCTCTCAATCAACATGTTCATATATAATAATTATTATATTCATATTTACAGTGAGTTTGAAGAAAAATGAGAAACAACAATCAAACAATGTTGTCATGTCCTGTTTTTAATGCTTAAATGTAATCGAATTTTTAAAAACAATCTCCATATAAAGATCCAATGAATTTGAACTATGTACTATTTGATTTGCTTTGTAATATGCGATGATTGGATGTAATACCTAGTGTATACATTTGGGGCTTGGCTATTTTTTGTTCATCTCTGAATTTTTGTTCCAATGCCATAATTAGAATTTTTTATATATCAAATTTAGACATTTTAAAGCTGTTCTATAATCTACATCCAAACATTTTAAATCATGAGATTGTAAAAAAATATCTCAGAAATGATCAAAAATGGCCAAGCCATTTTCTCTTCTTACTATTCGCTGCTTTTTAACAGTTGTATTGAATCTCGACGATTATTTCGTGTGCAATATATTTAATCGTAATAAATTTATGATTATTTGGAGAAACAAAATGTTGGAAATTAAAAAAAAAAAAGATTTGGCTTCTACGAGTATCACTTGCGTTGTATATTGACAATGTATTTGAACGCGACTCGATTTAAGAAGCGCCATCTCTTTCACGCCAGGTTCTAATATATTTTTTTCTTACAAAAAAAATTGCAAAATTGTATAAATTGAATAAGTTTTGCAATAATAATAGCGAAAATAATTAATAGAATTTATAATAAATAAAAAAAATTGAAAAAAACACACAAATATTTTATATTATATGATATGTAGCTTTGCCTTGTAGACTTTGCCTTGTAGAATATGTAGAGATGGTTACGTGGAGAAAATATGTATTTGTCAAACATTGATATCTGTCAAAAGAAATAACGTAAACAACACGAAGTGAAGCTATTCTGGTGAATCATATAATATAAAATATTTGTGTGTTTTTTCAATTTTTTTTATTTATTATAAATTCTATTAATTATTTTCGTTATTATTATTGCAAAACTTATTCAATTTATACAATTTTGCAAGAAAAAAATATTTGCAAGAAAAAAATATATGAGAACCTGGCGTGAAAGAGATGGCGCTTCTTAAATCGAGTCGCGTTGAAAGCCGACTGTAAGTGATACTCGGGCTTCTAAGTTAATTTCGTATGACTTTAGTCAAAGAAAACTTTGTTTTTTATTAGCAACTTTTTTATTTTTTTAACGTTTTCAAAATCTCAGACTTTTTTTTAAATTCTGATTAACATAATCAATTCGCTGAATATTTGTATTCATTTAAATTAAAATGCAAAAAATGTTATTGGTATTTAAAAGCCGAGCATTTACAAGTTTTAGAATAATTTTATTTAATATTGCATTTCACGCACAAAATTAAGTCCAATAATTTGTCTCTGTTATTTGGAAAGGATAAGTAAGTATAATTTTTCAAAATTCAACGAATAACACCCAAACTTAAAGACAAAAGGAGAGAATCGATAATCAACAAGATTAAAAATAGAAAAACAATACCAAAAATTAATTGAGAGAAAAATAGCACAGTTTTACATTGAAAATGTTTACGATTACATTTTAGTTCCTGAATTTTTCTAATAATTTGTTATTTAGAATTCAGAATTTGTATCAATTTTTCACGTACTAGACTGTAGCGATTGGCTTTCTTGTTCCTTAAATTAATTACTGAGTGAACATTTTTTTTTTTAATGTTTCATATAATGATTGCTTTCATTTACTTTGCTTATACTTGACTGATTTGTATGTTATTGTTTGTTGTAGCGATGGTGGCCGGTTTGCTCATAGATGACAAATCAGAATTTGTATCCGGTATATTGTTGTCAATGACGACATAATCACCATTCGCACTGGTCGGTGATGGTTTACTACCTAGAGAACATAAAAAATTTAATTATATAGGTGTTTTGAATGTTTTGAATAATTTATAAGACATCCTACTAGGAAACTACAAAGTGAATTTATATATAATTAAAGAATAAAGCCATGACCACAAATAAATAGTTGTAATCGATTTTGTGGAAGAAAAAAAAAATCTCTAGTCAAAAATACTATTTGGGTTCGATGAGTGCATTAGTCGATGACGTATTTACAGTATCGCAATTGCTATACAGAGTGAACATAAATATACACAACGGTCCGCACCAATGAGCGCTAATATCGTAGATTTTTCTTTATCGATTCCACCAATACGACATCTACTAAAAAACTCGCCGATTTCTGTTACTAGTGGTGTTTTAATACAGCTCGTGTAGACCTACAAAGGAATACACTAACTCCGATTCTGTGTATGCGTATACGCATATATGTATTACAAATTCTGCACTCAGTCGTCAATCGGATACACAGTATCAGAGTCTGTGTGTTCTTTTGTATTAGGTCGTCTATAATACAGCCATAGCCGTATAGTTCGCTCGAGCTGTGTCAAAGCAACAGTAGTAACAAAAATCGGTATCTTTTTTTACAGATGTCGTATTAGTAGAATCGATAAAATTAATTTGTATGGGGAATATACGATACTAGTACCCATCGGTCCGCACTGAATCTCACTTGAGTTTTATTATGTGGTAGGTGCGCAGCTTGACAATGGCTGATAATTTGCGTACACGGTACAGTGTACCACATCCCCACATTAACATGGACAAAGCCGTTACTCTGTGATTCTTTAGATCCAAAACGCGTAAAAACTATTATTAACCATTTCAAATTGTTGGGGTGATTACAATACTTTACTGTGGTCAAACCCTACTTACATACTTATGAGAGGAATTAAATTTAAATAAAATATAGGAGGTATACTACCTTCTTCACTGATCACTGGATTACCTGAGGAGAGAATCACAAAAGAAAAGAACGAATAATTAAAAAATAATTAATGAATAATCGAAAATCGCAATTTGTTTGCTTTCACGACTTTAGTTTCTTTTGTGACCATACAAAGCTATATAGATTCTTACATTCGAATGGTTTTCAATCATCTCTCAATTACTCACCCAGACACACACACTCTCTATTTCTCTCTTTTTTTTTATCTTACATACATTCTGTTTCCATCATCGTCATTTGAAAATCCCATACGTAATACATATATTACAATTAATGTATGAATGTGAATGACGATAATCGAAACTAATCGTAAAACAATGAATAATAATTAATAAGTAATTTATTTAAGATTACCATTTGCAAATGTCGACAATGGCACCATATCAATGCTATTTATTGGCCCATTCGATGTTATTTCAACACTGCTACTTTTCCGTTTTATCTGCAGTGATGGGCTTGCTTTTTCCAGGTACATTGAAGCATCTGATATATCAACACTAGCCGTCTGTAGTGCAACAGTCGAGCCTCGTTTATCTTTTTTCATTATATTTCCATTTTTCGACTGTGTCTTAGTAGTGCCACTGACACCGCCGCTCGTAATTAAAGCACCTGCACTGCCAGTCACTGCACCAGCCGTTGCACTAACTCCATCCTGCCAAAATCATAAAACAATATTTTATAACATATGAATTGAACAATCAAGTTAAATATCTTATCCGCGACTCAAAAAAGGAAATCTTTACAAAAAATTATGAAGAAGCTGATAACGCAAAAGATAAATGGAATCTAATTCATAAATTCGGCGTCACTAGTAAAGCACGGAAAAATGAAGCAAAAAACGTTATTTTTAATGGTGATTTTTCCCTTGATAAACTTAATGAACACTTTACTACAATAAATTAAAGCCACTCCCAAAATTTGATTTGAAATAAAACAAAGAAATCAAAAAAATTAATTTTCACCCAATTTCATCAGAAAACGTTTATAACGCAATTCACAAAATTAAAAGCAATGCCACTGGTCCGGACGGAATCCCACCAAAGTGTTTTAAATATCTAGCTAACTATATTTCTGAACCTATCTCAATAATTATCAATTCCTCTTTCTCATCTGGATAATTTCCAAACAAATTGAAAAATATTTCCGTAACACCAGTACCCAAAATAGACAATCCATCATTATTGACACATTTTCGGCCTATAAGTAATGCTAATTTTCTTTTAAAAGTTTTTTCTTCAATTAGCTGAAACAAATAAATTGATATCTTAACATCAATCGGGTTTCCGGAAAGGTCATAGTTGTACAACGGCAATTTTACAACTCACTGAATATTTTCACAAATCAATTTCCAGTGGAAAATGTGTTATACTTGTTCTTTTGGATTTTACGAATGCATTCGGATCTGTTGATAATTATCGCCTTTTACAAGTGCTCAAAAGTACGGGTGCCAGTAACATTTCAATGAAATGGTTTAAAAGTTTCTTAATGGGATGGGAACAAACAAAGGATGGAAGCAAACGAATTTCTTTGTTCCAACGCCAGCATCACTAACAATTTTTCTCCGAACCAATAATACACGAGTTTGTATCGTTCTCCGACAACTGCTTAGTAAATTAATACCAAAAACATTGATAGAGGGCCAATACCTTGAACAAAGTTCAGTAGTGATTTTGTATAGGAAAGTGACATCGCTTCCACAGTATGGGAACAAATCGTGAAGCATGACAACAGTCTATCACAACCTCTTAAAATAATGAGAGGCATCATTCAAGGTGAAAATAACTCACAATTACTTTTTTCAATCTTTATTAATAACATTGGTAATTATATTAAATATTGCAATAAGACACTGTTTGCTGATGATGTCCAAATGTATATTGAGTGCAATATCAATGACATTTCTGATGGAATTCGTAAAGTTAATGATGAATTAAAAAATATTGAGAAATTTTGTAATGACTATGGTATCGAAATAAATCCAATTAAATCAAAAGCAATAATTATCTCATCCAAAAATAATTTAAATAAGCTAAAATACGATGAACTACCAAAAATATTTATTAATAATCCACATATTGAATATGTTGAGAGTGTTCGCGATTTGGGCTTTCAATTAAATTGCACCTTAACACCGGAAAATCATATTAAAATTATTCAACAAAAAGTATTCGGTGCTTTAAACACGTTCAGCTCTTTAAAAATGATATTGGCGTCAGATATTAAATTGCAATCGATCAAAACACTCGTATTACCAATTTTTGATTACATGGATATTGTTTATCACAATTACGGAATTCATGGCACAAACAATGATAGTGACAAATTGGAAAGGTTGCAAAATATTTGTATAAGATTTGTTTTAAATGTTGATCGTCGAGAGCATATAACATCTCAGAGAAATTCATTAAATTTAATGAAATTATATGATCGACGCACGCTACATATCGCAAACATGATTCATAAAATAATTGATAATGATGCACCACCATATCTTAATAATTTAATCAACATCAATACAAATAACACTCGCTCTAATAATAATATAACTTTGACAATAAAGCATCATTTCTTTTTGTTGTAAGGAATGAAATCAAACAACAACAACAACAACAAAATTTTAGGAGATTAAAATTGTAAACAAAAAACTGACACTTACACTTTTGTCTTTTTCCTTATCTTTGTCCTTCTTTTTAAATCCAGGGAATGGAACTTTATGCGTTTTCAAAATCTCTTTGCTAGATCGCACCAAATTATTGCGCATGCCCAAACTTTCGATCGTAGCCACTGATTCTGATTCTTCGGTTATGCTGATCAATTGACTTATATTAGCGCTGGCACCTTCGTCGCCTGCCTGAATTGGAATATCGTCTGTAAAATGTCACATCAAAAAAAAAAAAACAATATTAGTCATAAAATTAATTTATGTAAATGGATGCTGTTACGATTGACAGCTGCATATATGTGATTTTTTTGCTATTGCACATAGTGAATAAAAGGCAAAAGTACTTCATGTTTATTTTATAAAAACATAAATGAAAAAAAAAATCAAAATTATTCAATTGCATTGAAGTTCTTGTGATATTGAAAGCGAAAGATTAGAAAAAAACACGAACAAAAATCTTAAAAGAAAGAAAAAGTATACACTTTTTTCATGGTTATTTGTAGTTAACGCGAATTTGTCGAAATCGCACTCATCTGTTCGAACTTCATACCAAGATCTCTTATTTAAAAAAAAAATAAGAAAAAAATCAAGCTCAGTATTCCTGCATCGGAATTTATAAAAATAAATTGACTTTATCACAAATATTTAAGATGTTCATCATTTAACTATTTAAATTCCCGAACGTCACAATGCAAATAAAAAAAAATTAACATGGGACATTTTTGGAAAGCAGGACAAAGCACTCAAAAGAGCATCCCCCTCAGATTCTCTTCCAATTCATTGGAATTGGTGATGCTTTCATGCCAAAATAATAGGAACCAATATAAAAACAAAACAAAAACAACAAATTCATAGCATAGCAATTGGCGCGCAAATTATTTTACAGCCAATTGACTGTAAGCACTTGTGCTTAGCTTTTTGAATTGAAAATTTATTCCTTTGAAAGAGAGAGAGAAAGTAGAAGAATGTACCTAAACAGTCTACGGAATCAATTGTGGATTAACTCAAGACAACAACAACACCCAATAAAAAAAATTATGCTCAAAATAAAAAAAATATATTTTTTAAATGCACACAAAATGGAACCGGCACAAATATTGTGTGAGTTAATTAAAAAAAAGAAGGACAAATAGAGAAAGAGAAAAAAAAACACTAATGATGTGAGTTTGCGTGTTTTAGTGTGTGTGTGTTTTCCCATACCTGTCTCAATTTACATCCGATTGATATTTGAATCATTTTTTTTTTTGAGTCTGTTGCGATTTTGCAAAATCACAAAACTTGAGTTCTTGAAAACGCTTGATATCGAAATTGTTGAATTGATTATCACACTGTTTTCACAGTGAATCTTATCTATATATATTGTAGACGAATTCTGAAAACCGCCCGAAAACAAAAGCGCTCTCCTTGTGTTGTATACATTTGATCGTTGTAAGTGTTGGAAAATCCGACGATAAAATTGAATTTTGATAAAAATTCGGAATATTAAAAATAAATTAATTTGCAGCTTGACGGTATCGATAGTGGCAAGAACTTTCAATAACACAAATCGCTTAATATTGTAACGTAATTTTCCAGTTCGATAAACGTCCAAAACAAGTGAAAAACAAATTGAGGAGAGATTATAAGCTTTTTTCTTTTGTAGTATTGAAGAAAGTAAATGTTCAAAGTCGCGCAAACACTACAATCACATATTATGTATGTTAAGCTTATTAGTATAAAATAGGTTTAGGTCGCGTAGTATATGAAGGCGTAAGTTTCGATCGTGTGGGTGATTTTCTATATGTATATTATAGTTGTTGTGGTGAAGACATTGGAACAATGTGAACACTGGCCGGTCGACCGTTAATAAGCAATGCTTGAAATTCATCGTTGGCGTCGTCGTCCAAATTTTCGAGTTGTTGACAAAGACGTGCCCCTGCACTTGATCGAATATCGTTGCGTGCATTTGCATTGTTCTGAATTGCGTTCGAATTTCCAATGACATTAGTTTTGCCATTTGCACCGCGTGCTGTTGACGATGTAGATTGGCCAGATTGTGGACGACGCCGTAATGGCGATTGATTCAATAAATTAGATACAACGGTTGTGGCCGATGAATCACTGGATTTTTTATGTTTTGGTGAACTGGTTGGGCTTGAATGTCGTGATGTTTTTGCTGATGCCGTTTCAATTGGTTCCTCTTCGATGCTTGAATTTTTACCCGGACTGTATTTCCAACCCCAATTTTTCCAACGTTTTTTTGAATCAAATTTACGCATCTCTTTTGGACTGAAATTTGCATCAGTCACATTAGTGTCGTTATTATTATTATTGGCTGTGTCGATTGTTGGATCATTCGTTTCGGCAACACTGCCACTTCGATGGATATGCTGTTCTAAGGCGGCTACATAGTCCATTTCGAGATCATCTACGTGATTTCGATGTCATTCCCGCATGACATGTTCATTTTTGTTACGGTTTGTGTAGGTGTTGTTTATGTAGGTTTGTCAAAGTCGTTTTCGCGCGATTCGCGTTCCAACGATATCAAGTGATGTGTTTTTGGGGAAGGTATTCGCATAGGTGTGAGTAGGTATTTGTATGTATGTTTGTGTCAGGGGTTTTGTTTCAGTATATAAAAAAAATATACATAAACAAACAAAAGAAATGTACTCAAATCAATATTTTTTTATAATTTTTTTGGTTTTGTTTTCGTTGATTTTTTTTTTTTCATTTTATTTGGAAAAGGAAAAAAAATATTCAAGAAACAGAAAAAAATCATCAATTCATTTAATATTTGGCGCATGAAGAGGAGTTATCAAAAATATACATTGTTATTTATTCATGAATGATTTACATATATGTTTGGCGTGTTTTCATTTTGACATAGAGAGAAAACAGTTTTTATTTTTTATTTGTACAATTGTTCACTACGCATGATGGATAAAACACACGTTTAACGCTTTTGGTGGAGCTGCAAAAATATATTAGCATAGCATTTATCCTTTTTTTTAGAAAATTTTCTTTTAAAACAAACGAAAGGGAAGTAGTAAACGTGATTTGAAAACGATTCTACTTTATGAATTGAAATATTGAGTGTGTATATTCTATTCAATTCTAGGTACATTTCGGTAGACGTGAATATGAATGTCAAGTGTACTTTGAAAAAAAAAAAATTATAAATGTTTATCTATAATGCAAATATGTTGAATATTCAACCAAAGTACAAAATTGAAAAAAGTCACATTTTTACCTCTACACTTTGCATTTTCTGTGGAATTATCTAACTTTTCATACAGTTAAAAATGTTATTGCATTATGTTGCACTTATGCATTTTTTTCTTATAAATTCTCGTTCATGCCAAAAACCGGCTGGAATGTTCAAATGTCAAAAAAAACTTCATGCTACGCCTCAATCGGCTAATTATGGACAGAATGGGCAGAATCAATTATTTTATAATCGTCATATAATAATTATTATTACAATTAAAATCCATTACATTACAGAAATACAACAAAACAACAGTGCAACGTCTACAAATTGAATCATGCATATGTATCATTAGACTGATTTTTGACTAATTAAAAACAATCAAATACGGTGCGGAGAATCTATGCAAAAAATCATTACTGACTGTCGAACTTTATGCCATAAAATGTGCAGCATTGAAGTTTATGATTTTTTTGTTTGGAGAAATAATCGAGAGAGAGAAAAAAAAACGTATGAACGAGAAAATAAGTGAGAAGGAATTTTATTCAGAATAAATGCATATTGAATTTATCAATATTGTAATTGCGTAGCATATTTCATTGAAATATTTGTATCAGTTGGTAAAATTTATGATTGGTTGTTATTTTTATTGGAAGCGAAGGAATATTCGAATATTTGGCGCTCGCATTTCAAATAAAAAAAAGTAAAGTGTTTCAAATTTTTCATATGTGTGTGTATAATATGTATATTGCAACGGATTTCAAATACTAAATGTTTTCTGCAATGTGCTCCACTATCACACCCATTCGGTAACGACACAGATGTTACCAGAGAATGAAAACGTGACATATTGTTCGATTTGTCACAGAAAAAAAATAACAACGATGATATATATACTGTCGTGATAATATCAAAAATGAATGATTGGGGGGGAGGTTAACGAGAAATGAACAAATGAACAATTTGAATTATATATGCATTGAAAGGATGGAAATTACCTGGCAATTTCTTTGTTCTAAATGATGCGTTCGTGATCATTGACTTGGACACAGTGACCGTTTGAGTGGAAGTGGATAGTGCAACACTTATACCTAAGGGGAGAATCACAAAAGAAAAGAATTAATTGGAAATAATCGATAAGTAATCGACAAATAATCGAAATAATCGAAAATAATCGAAATAATCGAAATAATCGAAAATAATCGAAATAATCGAAAATAATCATACCCATTGGACCGTCACTGGGTTGACCTAAAATAATGAAAAGAAGCATTAGAAAAAATAAAAAAAACATCACGCCTTTGGAGACTACCCGAGCTTCTGAGACAATAAGCGAGATGTTTTCGAACAAAAAAAAAAAAAAAAACGAAATTTGAAACCAGAACAAATATGTGTACAAAAAACTCACCCGATGCATTTGCGTGTAGTGAATTTTTAATGGCATTCGTAACTAATATCACCTCTGGATAGAGTTCGTAACAAGCACGATTATGAATATCGTCCACCGCTTGAATGGCAATCGATGCAAATTCATTGAACATTGCAAAATATGTTGAATGCAACAATTCCAGTAGAAATTGCGCTGAAATCGGAATACGTGGTATTGGTTTTGTGGTAGATGCAGACGTTGCCGTTGCTGTAATTGTACTAGTATTGTTTGGATCATTTCCGTACGATGGTCGATGTGCATGCCCGTATTTGGTAAATCCCTGATTCACCAGCTGTGAAGCCGTCCGGCACAAATGATACAGAGATGATTTTGGTATTGAACTCAATTGTTGATTGTACACAAACATAACAGCAGTCATTATTTTCAGGCGATTTTGTGCATTAACCGATTCGACTTGTGGCAATGGACCCCAATTTACATCTTTGTTACTATTCTCTTCCCAGCGTCGTAAATCGTACGCATTTAAACATTTTTCTTCATGATAAATGGACGCCTGTGCCAATACAGGCATACGAAATGACACAACCTTTGGTTGTCCCTCGTCTGTACTCACTTCAATATTGTATATACCTATATAGGGGAGAATAGCAAATGATTAAAATATAGAATTAATCGAAATAATAAAAATTAAATGCAATTCAACGTATTGATTCCACAACTAACACTACCAAATCTCATTTTTCCAGCAATTTGTTTGCTGTCGAGACTTTTATTTCTTCAGTATGTGTGTGTTATATACTCTCTCTCTCTCTCTCTCTATCTCTCTCTCTCTCTATCTCTCTCTCTCTCTCTATCTCATATATACTCTGTTTTTATCATCATCATTTAGAAATCTCATATAACATACCCAACAAAAGAGTTTCAATGCTACGACAACTCTTTTTATCACCCTGTGCCACCGCATTCAAATACGTATAAATTAACGTTGGCACAAATTGCAATGTAAAACTTTTCAATTTTGCTTCATTCGAACGATAGTAACTAAACAATTGATTGCATATCGAATGCAGCACCTGTAAATGAAAAAGATATGAAAAGACGAAAATGTTGAAAAGAGTTCAGCTATTTAAAACAATCAAAAACAAAAAGAAGATTTTTTATTGACACTTACGTCTGGATATTTGAGACGTTCATTGATTATCGTAAATAGTGCACTTGATACTTCATGGTTGTTTTCATGATCAGCAATAAATGATTGGATTTCAGTCGGCTCCAGCGCTGCATACTCAGTTAACCAATCACTTACTATTGACTCAGCCATAATAACTCTCTTTACTCTTTTTCGTTAGCATAAAACGTTGTTTCTAACTTTTTTTATGAATCGTTCACTTTGTATTTACATTCTGGAAATCGAAGACAAAAAACCACAAAAGAATAATTAAGAAAAGTTAAAAAGAAAATATTTGACGAATGATTTATTTGAAAATTAATTATAAAATAGAACTATTTTGAAAGCGGGAGGATAAAAAACGACCTTCTGCCCAGCAACCTAAATGGTGACCTTCGTGTATTTATGGAAAATTGGCTAAAACTAAGAGCAAAAACTGTGATTAATCGCCTTAGCATTGAACTGAAATTTGATCTTTCTTCTTATTTGCTGTGCATTTTCGGAATTTTTTCCCTTGTTTTTATCATCGCAATTAGTCACGTTTTTATACATATTTTTCTCTTCCTCACTCACGCGCTCATTTATTCGTTTCTCGTTCTTGACAATAGAAATATGGATGACATTAGCTATATTGACACTAAAGCATAAGCATACATATAATGTACATACACACGATTGCATGAAGACTATTTGGCATGTGAAGTGTGTTGAAATTTATTTGTTACGGAATTCTTCAAAGAAAATTCAACATTTATATGAAATCAAAGAATTTAACAAAACTTATTGATTTAGTGAAGAAAAAAAAAATCAGTGAAATACAATTCTACCATTACGATTTGAGAGTTTTGATAATAAAGGTTGATATGAAAAAAATTCCATCCATTGATTTACACATATACAATTTTTGCACGAGTTCCACTTTAATCGGTATGAAAATGTATTTCATTGAATGACTTTTTCCGAAACTATTTACGCTCACCAGCTTCTCAATCTAGTTTAAAGAACAGCCAGCCACCAAAACAAATCGAAAAACGAAAAAAAAACTAAGTCAACTAAAAAAATTGTTAACAAATAACTTCTTTTTGTTAGAACATTAGTCGGTTTTTAACGGAGGCTTTCGTCATGTTATTTTTTCACTTCTTTTCGCACTTGATTTTTGGAATGGAAAAAAAATGTGAGTAAACGAATTTACTGCTTAGTTTTATAAAATATTTTTTATTACTCTTTGCATAGCACACAAGCACACAGAATCAATGGTTTTCGCATTCACAGTGAATATTGTGGCTGCATGATATTGATAATTCACTGGAATACTGATGCACGAGAGACCCTGTCAAATGTCACAAACACATGAAACATGCAGCAAACCGCGCACCAGATTTCCAAATCCAGCGAATGAAAGAAATATTTTGATGTATCATACACACTTACTTCACATCATTCACTTTCATTTTTTTTTTATTTACAATACACACAGCGCCAATGTCAAAAATTTTGTTCGACATTTCACCAACAACCAGAAAATTGATAAAATATAACAATAATTTTTTAATGCATTTTTATGTAATTTTTCCAAACGAAAAAATTCAAACAATGTAATTCAGTTCTCATTTTGTTTTGAACGATAGAAAAATCTATTGACATACAATGCTTTGCTGGATTTTCACGCATGCTAAAAAAAAGACATATGAGAACTTACGAGCAAATGTCAAAGTTGCCAATGGTTAAAAGTGATGTAGAATGTGTGAGTGAAACAGAGAGAAATTCACCACTCCAACACGTCAAAAACAACAGGCCACAATACAGAGTTTGTGATTCGAATTTGATGAATATATATTATTATTCCACTTGTGTGTTTGTTTTAGTTAGCATACGAAGCAAATGAGGAAGAGCGAGAATAAGATATGAAATATACGAAACGAATGTAGAAAGTGTGTGTCTGCCACGTAAAATTATTCATTGCTTTAAAAAACACTCTCAATATATTTCTTCTGTAGGAAATAGGCTGTACAAACTTTGATTGTCAATTGTGTTGTGTGTTTTGTAGAATATTTTTGGTGTTGTTACTTAATTTTAATCCAAGTTGCGCCAATCTAATTGAAGAAAAAAGCAGATTATTCTTGCTACGAGAAACGTTTGGTGTTGTCGGCATTGTTTTCATCTGGCAAAAATAGCTAAGATTTTTTTTTTATTGTGTCGTCATTAAAGTTGTGACAATTTATAAGTTTCCACCAAAAATACTTGGACCAATAAATAATGGGTGCAGGAAGCAGTGTTGAAGTTCCGGGCGGTGGTAGCGAAGGATATCATGTTTTACGTGTAAGCATTGATTATTTCAATAAAAAAATATATTTAAAAAATGGAATACATCAATGAATAATAAAAAAGAAGAAGTGAAAAAAGTCAACACAATCTGTTTCATGAGTTTGAAATTGGGCTCCAATTACAAATTACCGTACATTCAATAACCTCAATTGAATGACGTGTTTTGTTTGACAGATAGTTGTTTTTATTCATTTTTCTCCAGATATTGGATTCATATTCTTATTGTGCTTTTTAAAATATATGTATATATATATATAGGTGCAAAGCGGTTCGCCAGCTGAAATTGTGGGATTAGAAGCGTTTTTCGATTTTATAATTGCAATTGAAAATATTCGTTTGGATCAAGACAATGACACACTTAAAGAATTGCTTAAGAAAAACGTAAACAAACCTATTAAAGTGACTGTATACAGTAGTAAAACCCAAATCGTGCGTGAGGTATCGCTGACACCAAGTGATGCATGGGGTGGTCAAGGATTGTTGGGCGTATCGATTCGATTTTGTTCGTTTGAAGGTGCAAATGAAAATGTGTGGCATATATTAGATGTGCACCCTTCGTCACCGGCTGAAGAGGCCGGTTTACGATCATTTACCGATTACATTATTGGCGCCGATTCCATATTACATGAAAGCGAAGATCTATTCACATTGATCGAAACACACGAGCAACGACCATTAAAACTTTATGTATACAATACGGATGATGATACGTGTCGTGATGTTACAATTAAACCGAATTCTAAATGGGGCGGTGAAGGTAAGTGGTGAAAATGATTTTTCTTTTTCTTTATTGACACGTAGCATCTCTGTGATATTTTACAGGTAGTTTAGGTTGTGGCATTGGTTATGGTTATTTGCATCGAATACCGATTCGTGTGTTGCCTGACGAAAAAACAACAGCAAATGTAACAGCCGGTGCAGCAAATAAACCATTCTTGGGTACAGCACCGTCACCAATTTCCGTTCCATATGTTCCACCATTAGCCAATACATTTGCACCGCCTACTGGAAAAAGTGATGCGGAAATTGTGTTTGCTGGCGTTTCCAATTTGAATTTAAACAATTCTGGAGCACCACTGACTTTAGGAAATGAACAACAACAACAACAGCAGCAGCAGCAGCAGCAACAACAACAACAACAACAACAACAACAACAACAACAACAACAACAAAAACAGCAGCAGCAACAGCAGCAACCACAATTGAATGTAATACCCACATCAAACCCAAATGAAATGACAGCGGCCATCGAAAAATCTCAGCAAAATCTGTCAACCAACTATCAACACACACCGATTTTTGCATCTGTTCCACCAACTAGTATTCCTAGCTTAAACGAATCATTCAATATTCCAACATCAATTAATCCAAACAATGTGCCAGCCCCAATCTATCAATCGAGTCCAGTGCAAGGTGACTGATTGTTCTTTATAAAATAGTTGCTTTGTATCTTTGGAATATTGATCCAATCAATTGTTGTTCTTATTTTTTGTAGCTGGGGCAATACCAACATTTAATCAGTTCGCAAATGTACCCCCACCACCATCATCGATCGCCAATTTACCCGGTTTGGAAACAGTTTTTGAACCAAGAGCAACACTAAGTCCACAGCAATATTCGCAAGAATTACAGGTAAACACATTTATTTGACGGAAGGTTTTTTTTATTTCGACCATAAGGTCTAGTTTTTTTTATCAAATATTTATATTCCGACTTTTTTGAATATAATTTTTCGTCTTTGTTTGTATTGATTTTCCTTGAAATTCACAGCAACAACAACAACAACAACAACAACAACAATTTGTGTCTCAGTCATATGCGTCGTCAAATGAGAATATAACGTTTTCGCAGAATGCACCACCATCTCTGCAAACATACTCATATTCATATCCACAGGTACAGCAAGTGACAACGCCACTTGAAATTTCATTACCCGGAATGCCTCCGATAACCGTTAGCGCAACAATTCCGTCGCAGCAATTCTACAATATGGGCCAAAGTGTTGTGCCAACATTGCCGCCAACAACATCAACAACATAGTAGAAACTCAGAAAAAAACGATATAGAACAAGCAGAGAAAACATCTATCTGACGATGGCATTTTGATTTTGTTCCGCTTTTTGTTTAGTTAGTGTTGCATATAATTTCTCTTATTTTTTTCCCTCTTAATAAAAACAGAATTCTAAGCAACAAAATGATTTTTTTTCTGAAATGAAGTGACCATCCTAAAATGCATTTTGTTTGCTTTCAAATTCAATAACCGAAGAAAATTGTTGTTTTCGAAAGCGAACATACGTCCTCAAGGTAAAAATTAAATAAATACATCGAACACTTCGGTGAGGACGTATGCAAACGAAGCAAAATTTCACATTTATATATTTAAAAAAATAATATTTATAATTTAATATACTTTGTCCGAGAATTTCTAATACACAATTGAAAAAATGTGCAAAATGTAAAAAATACAGAGTGAAAAACAGCTGATGCCTGATTGAATTGGTTACAACATTTATAAGTCAAATTTCATATTCAAATCCAAAACAAATTATAAATAAAATAAAGATACAATTTTTATTGATTTGCAATGAACCATGTTCGCTATAGCGAAATCTATTATTATAAAAAATTACCTTTTGGCCAAGATCCATCCATCTGGAGTTTATTGAATTTTATTAAATTATTTTAAATTTGTCCTGATTTTGATAGCATATTCCATCACATTCCGTGTGTAATAAATTGTGAAGTTTTCATTGGGCGACCCCATCAAGAACTTTTATTATATAGAAAACATTTGTTTGTTTTATTTATTTATTTTTTTTCATTTTTATTTGTTTATATAGATATTTTTCGTATGGTACAAGTAAATTTTCTGGTTTTGTTATATTTCACTTCTATTAATTTAAAAGTTCGAATTATTTATTTTTCTCTCTCTTCTGAAAATACAAATGCCCTTACATAACAAAGTGAACAAACGCACCTAACCTCATAGTGTTTGTGTGGCTGTATATCTTGTGTTTTATGAAATACATTTTGTTATGCGAGTATCTCTTTAACATTTGTTGATCGATGACATTTTAGATGATAATTTCGGTATTTCCAAGCTCTTCATCAGACGGTATTACAACTAGGCTGGGATCAATGTAATCGGGTGCAATGGGTTCTAGGCCAGCTGCTTCTCGTTCTCGAAGCACAATATATGCTTCACGCTGTGACCATTCGAGTAATTGTCGATCGGGTAAATAGGACCAGACGAAAATTGTTCCAACACACGCCAATGTAACGCCAAAAAAGTATGTACCTCGTGTATATTGACGATCTTCTTCTTTGTCTTCTCGGCTAAAACCATAGCTAACCCAATTTTTTGATTTACGAACGGCTTCAATGCTAAAATCTGTCACTTCTTCGGTTACTTGTGATGACAATGGTTTTGCAACGGATGTTTCATTCTTTTTCGGTGATGTTGATACCAAACGAATTGGATTTTGGAACTGTCGAACCAAGCGACCACATCTCATCAATGAGGCAGCCATCGTTAGAGATTTATTTTCCTTCGTTCGTTTACCAAAACTAAAATTAAACTGTTTTCTTTTTGTATCAGTGCGGAGCGTTTTGTTTTTGAGCACTGATGGCACACGTAATTCAATGGCGGCCCCCCAATGATAGTATTTTCAATTCAGTCTCTCGGATTTAATCCGTGTGTGTATTTTGATTCTTATTTTTTTTTCTTACAAAATGTCAAATTCGGGTACTGTTAAACATATTTATGTTACTTCAAGCGTGGTGAATTTTATTTTTACTCACCTTTAAATCGATGAAGTTTGAATTAAAAAAAATTGAAATGAAATTAAATGAAAATAAAAAATAAATGAATTGAAATTCAAAATCTTGTAGAATTTTGTTTTAAGAGAAAATTTATTTTTTAAAATAAAGGACAAAGCTACAAAGGTAGCCATGATTATCGACGTTTTAATATTTTCGATAAAGAAATCGATAACAAAGATTATTCAAAAAAAATTAAAGCAGATTTCGTATACTTTCATATTTGAAAGCTTAGTATATGTATCGATATCAATGAGTGTGTGAGAGAATAGTGTATGCCAATAATATACGACAATATAACAAATAAAATACTCAAATATGTGTGTTTTTTCTCAACTGTGGCTGCTGCTGCTGCTGCTGCTGTTGATGATGATGATGATCAGTGGCAATTTTATTCTCAATTATTTTCCATGATAAATTTGAATTATACTAATATTGTTTAGAAAAAATACTTTTTTTTCTCTTTGATATAACAAACAATATATCTATGCGTGAATTTTGAACTGCGTTGAAGTAATTTAGTGTGTATGGTGATTTAAATTCGCTTGCAAAAGTTTCGTTGGATATGATAAATAACAAACAAACAACGCGAATGTGTCAAAGTTTCCATGATGAAATCAAAAAGGATTAGTCATATGAAGTCCTGTTAATATTCACGTAAATAAGAAAATAATAAGAATTGATCATTTCGAATTTGGCGCGTAGAAAGAGATATTATTAATTCATTATATAAATAAACGGTGAGAGAAATGCGTAAGATGATGTTTGAACGTTGAAATACAGATTCAAGTCTCATTGAAAATCCAAAATTTAAGTCTCAACCGATTTCTGGGTTATTTAAAACCTAGAAATCATTCCTCTGTGATTTCAACCGATTTCTAGGTTCAAAATATCCGATTTTTTTTCTGTGAGTACACTATTGTCTGGCATGAACATACCGATTGGCTGCCACGAACTATTTGATTGGCTGCGAATAAAAGTGGAAATAGTCGATTTCAAATGTTCTCGATCTCTTAATAAGAGAGAATGTTTGAGGTCTATACCATCGCTTATACGGATGTTGCGAACGAACAGTTTATTTCCACTTATGTTCTGAAGCACTCAACATTTGGATTATTGGATTATTGGATTAAAACGGGGAGTGTCCTATTTAAA